GCATGGGATGGAGCTCAGTGGCACCACGCCTGCCTTGCAAGTGCAAGGTCCTGAGTTCGATCCCCAGTACCGCAAAGAATGAAAAATTTTAAAAAGGGGACTGGGGATTTAGCTCAGTGGTGCCACTGCCTGTCTTGCAAGCACAGGGTCCCAAGTTCAATCCCCAGTAACAAAAAAAATTTAAAAATTGTTTTAAAAATTAAAAAAATCAAATGGGGGGCCAGGGATTTAGCTCAGTGGTTTCGCTGCCTGCTGCGCAAGCACAAGGACCCAAGTTTGATCCCCGGTACCAAAAAAAAAAAAAATCAAATGGGCCGTCTTTATTTTTATGGTGCCAAAATACACATAACATATCCAGACATGGTAGTACACAATTGTAATCCCCACACTCTGGGAGGCTGAAGCAAGAGGATTCAAAGTTCGAACACAGCCTGGGCAACTTAAGTGACTTAGAGAGAACCTGTCTGGAAAAAGAAAGAAAGAGCCACCTCCATCTGCAGAGCTCTTCCTCTTGGAGACCTGAAACCTTGTCCCCAGTAGACAGCACCCCACTGTCCTCCCCCCCAGCCCTGGACACCCATTCAAAAGTGTATCTTTGCCAAGCAGTTTGCCCTGGCTTCTGGGGGACAGGAGCACCATTGGCTTAGACACTGGAAGGGAGGGCCTCTGGGGATGAGCCTGGAAATCTGAATTTCTCAAGCACCCCAGAAGGGAGAAGGGACAAGGAGAAAAACCACAATGTCACCATAAGTTATGCAAATGTTTCTGGTAACCTACTGATCACAGTCTGTAGGATGGAGCCCTGAGGCATTCATCTTGTCATTGTCACCCAGAAAGCTCTGGAGTCAAGCTCTGGGCAGAAGCAGTTTCACCCCAGAGCTGCTGAAGCTGAAGTCTGGGATGAGCCGGGCGTAGGAGTGCACACTTGTCATCCCAGCACTCTGGGAGGCTGAGGCAGGAGGACAGGTTTGAGCCCAGCCTGGGCAATTTAGCTATTCAGTGAGACTACATCTCAAACAAAAAGGCTGGGGATGTAGCTCAGTACAAAGGCTCCAGGATGAATCCCCTGTACCACAAAAACACAAAACACAACACTTAGGGGCCACGCAGGAGCATGAAAGTAGAGCAAGAGAATGTTCTAGAAGCAGTGGGGAGCCCTGCATGTCACCAGGAAGCATTTTGATGGGGGTCGTGGCTGTTTAGAGAAACCAAAGGGTGGAGCATGCCTCTCAAGCACAAGGTTTATAGTATTTATTTTTTCATTCTGAATATTCACTTTTATACTTAGAAGTTTATAATCTTTTATTCATTTCCTTTCAGAGGGCCTCAAAATTTAATCCCTACAAAACCTGGATCTGATATTAAGTTAAATAAATGAGACACAAACAAGTTTAAATATCACATGGTTTCTCTTATATGAAAAACTCAAAATATAAATAAAGAACAAAATAAAGGATAGATAATAGGAAGTAGAGAGGTCTTGTTCAAAAGGAAAGGGAAACAAGAATTGCAGGGGGCAGGGAGGAATGAAAGGGGACAAAAAAATTAAGATGTGTTGTGGACACGTATCAACTTCCTATGATAAGTGTAATCACTATATACTGCAAACATGGACTAATAAAAAATAAAATAAAAGCCTGCATCTGCCTCTGATTTTTTTTTTTTTTTTTGAGACAGGGTCTCACTATGTAGCCCACCCAGGCTGACTTTGAACTCACAGCCATCTTCCTGTTTCAGCCTCCGGAGTGCTGGGATTACAGGTGTGTGGCACCATGCCCGGCGGCCTCTGACTTTTGAGGTCTGGTGTCGCTCTGAATGTTTCCACTGTGGGCTGGGATGATGGCCAGACAGTCTCAAGATCCTGCCCAGGCTGGGGTCCTGCGTGGCTGGGACAACTAGGGGCAGGCACAGAGCACAGTTTGGGACTTAGTTCTATAAGCTCACCTTGTCCTGTTCTCCTTGAACACATCCGGATTATCAAAAATCCTAACCTGGGGCCGGGGATTTAGCTCAGTGGTTTCACCGCCTGCTCCGCAAGGGCAAGGACCCAAGTTCAATCCCTGGTGCCAAAAAAAAAAAAAAATCCTAATCTGGGGCCAGGGATTTAGCTTAGCGGTTCCAGTGCCTGCCTCACAAGTACAAGGTCCTGAGTTCGATCCCCATACCCCCCCCCCAAAGAATCCTAATCTGAACTGGACATGGTGGCTCATCCCTGTTGTCCCAGCTATTGGAGAGGCTGAGGTAAGAGGTTCAAAAATTTGAGGACAACCTGGGCCATTTAGCAAGCCTTTGTCTCAAAATACATTCAAAAGGTCTAGGAGTGTAACACAGTGTTCCCCGGATTCAATATCCAGAACTGCCCAAAGAACCCTCACATACGGAACTTGGCCACCCCTACCGAGGGAGCACAGCGCCCACACATCGTGGGGTCTTGGGGCCCCCATTCACAGAGTGCGACCTGCGACCCACCAGCCCCTGCTCCTGATGCCCCCAGCGGGCTCAGGTGACAAGACACTGTGTGCTGGGTGCGTGTCCTCTGTCCTCTGCCTTTCCCATGCTCCAAAACCATTATTCATGTTTTATTAGGGAACCTGAAGGCCCTCGGGCTCCCCCGTGACCTGACAACCCCAAGTGCAACTAGTTACTCAGTGGGAAACCCCGTGAGGGCAGCCTTCTCCCCCTCGGCATGCCCGGGCAGCTCTGGGAAGCGGCCACAGCCCAGGAACACATGAGTGCACACACACACACACATACACATGCACACACACACCCTGGGTTCCATCCCAGTACAGGGGTGGCGGGGTGGGGGTGGGGATGATGAATGAAATCCAGGAAAATGTTTATTCTTCTCTAGAACAGCCTTACCAACCTGGCAGGAAAGGGAAATATGCAAAGTAATAAATAAATAAAAAGGGAAGCCAGGTGTGGTGGCACATGCCTGTGATCTGAGCACTCTGGAAGCTGAGGCAGGGGAATCCAGAGTTCAAGGCCAGCCTGGAGTACAAAGACAGACTCTGTCTCAAAAATCCAAAGTAGGCCAGGGATGGTGGCACACGCCTGAAATCCCAGTGCTTGGGAGGCTGAAGCAGGAGGATCTTTGGGAGTTTGAGGACAAGGTGACCTGCACAGTAAGTTCAAGTCCAGCCCGAAATACGTAGCAGGACTCTGTCTCAATAAAACAAAACCCAATAGCCGGGGATTTAGCTCAGTGGTTCCCCCACCTGCCTCGCAAGACAGAGTCTTCCAGAACCCAACAGGGGCAGCAAGCACCCTGCACGTGTTTTCGAGGAGAATTCTCCCTGGCAACCAATCCATAACCTCACCCCACAGGCTGACTGGGATTTTGGGGGGGGGGGGTACCAGGGATTGAACTCAGGACCTTACGTTTTCGAGGCAGGCACAGTGCCACTGAGCTAAATCCCCAGCCAGACTGGGATTTGATCTCTCCCAGATGCCTGGCACCAGAGGGGCAGGTGGGGCCGTTCCAGCCTCCCCGGAAGTGTTCCCTGCAGGAAGACAGGTTCCCAGGCAGCTGGGGTTGAGGCATGAATCATTTCACCTCTGGTTTTGTTTCGTTTTTTGCAGTAGTGGGGACGGAACTCAGGCCCGTCCCACTCAGCTACCTCCTCAGCCCTCTTTATTTTATTTTATTATTTATTTATTTATTGACCTGGAGATCAAACTTGGGACCTTGAGCTTGTGATGCAGGCAGCGGAAACACTGAGCTAAATCCCCTTGTATTTTTTTTTTCAGTCCTCTTTATTTTATATTTGAGGCAGGAGCTCACTCACTTGCTATGTCACCTAGGCAGGGCTTGAACTTTTGATCCTCCTGTCTCAGCCTCCCAGAGTGCTGGGATTGTAGACGTGTGATCCCATACCTGGCTTCACCCAGATCTAATGAGAGAAACATGGGGGCCTTTTCTCCAGTTGGGGTGATAACAAGTAAGGAGTTAGATTCCGTCTTGGAAACATTATAGCAGGCATCTCAAGAGCTGGCCACTGGGCAAGATTTGGGACTCGTTGAGGGTGATAAGAGCCCCTCTGTGCCCTGGGAGTGTGGCTCAGGGGCAGAGCAATAGCCTCACACCCACAAGGGCCTGGGATTCTAGCCTTAGGATTGGAAGGAAAAAAAAAGGAGTGCACACCTATAATCCTACCTATAGTCTCAACACTCAGGAGGCTGAGGCAGGGGGATTTTGGTGAGTTTGAAGCCAGCCAGGGCTACACAGTGAGACTCTGTCCCCAAAAAAGGAAGAGCTGGGGATTTAGCTCAGTGCTTTTGACACCTGCCTCACGAGTGCAAGGTTCCGAGTTCAATCCCCGGTACCAAAAAAAAGGGAGAGAGAGAAGCCCCTGTGCTTGAAGCCACACCCCACACACAGGAGCATGACCTGCTTGGTTTCAGCCATCACACAGGGTGGGGTGGGGCCTGGGCACTGCCCGGGGTGGCTTGGGAGGAGGTGGTTGGCGTCCCTGTCATACAAGCATGGCCGGAGCCCAGTGAGGCTTCCTGCAGGGCATGCTGAGAAAATCCGGCTTCTGCCTCTCCTGGAACCTCACCTACCTGGGCATGCCAGGGCCTCGCCGGGGCGAGTCAGGATCCTGGAGCGCCTGACCCTTGAGTCACCGCAGTCCATATGCACGCCCTCCCAGATGGCTTCGTGGGGCCAGGTCATGCAAGCCCCAGAGGGGCAGCAGGAGCAGGAAGGGGCAGGGCTGGTTAAGGGCACAGCAGGGTGGCTGGTGAGTCAGTCCCGGAAGTGTACTCCTGGGCTTCCGGTTCTTCTGCGGGGCCTGGAGGGAGCTGCCCTGGATCTGGGGAGGAGCTGGCGCTCACAAGGTGGCTTGGCTGGGGCTTCCCCGCCCCTCATCCTCTCTACCAGCTCCTGGTGGCTCTGGGAAGCCAGCACCAGCCCTCCAGAGGGAACATTCCAAAGCAATGCTGGGCCTGCCGGCAGGATTAGAGCCTAGCCAGGCTGCCCACGGCTCAGGCCCTGCTCATTAATCCACCATGTTTATTAAACATCCACTGAGTCCCAGCACCTTGGGGACACAGAGGCCACTCAGCCCCGCCCCTCCCCACCAGGGCTCACAGTCTAGTCCGCAGGGCCCAGCCTGGCACAGCCACTGTCTGATAGCTTCCCCCACATCCTGCCTCCCAGACCAGGGCCCAGGGCATCATGGTCCATGTGGCATTGGCCGACCCAGTGGCTGTCCCTTCCCCAGTCAGTCTGTCTTCTTCCACTAGTGTCCTGGTCGCCAGCACAGGCTGCTCATCCAGGCACTTGGAGGAGCATCCACCCTTCCCTCAGTGCTCAGCGAATCCCCAGAAAATGACAGAACGTGACTGAGGAGGGATGGACGGAGTGTGTCCCCTTTGTCTGGGACACCGTCAATGGGGATCCCGAGGCTCCTCCCCGAGTCCCCACAGCAGGCTGCCTGGCTTCCGTGAACAAAGAGATGGCTTAAGAACAAGCTGCTTCCGGCCCCCAGTTGGCACAAGTCTGAGTTGCAAGAGAAGATGAGGCTGGCCACTTCCTGTCCTCCAGCCCAGGCCTACACTTGGATCTCTGCTAGCCCGTGTCACTGTCTCCCTACGGGGCTCAGGTCCTGACCGACAGCTTCTTCAGAGCCATGGGGCAGCTCATTCTGGTCTCCAGGTGGTCTTGGGGTGGCATTAATGCATGGGGAACGAAATCCTTCCCAAGACCCCTTATGGAGCTCATGGGGCTCTTGGTCCCCAGCCTGGCATCAGGCAGCCTGGGAGTGGCGGTCGATGATCCAGCCTACGTGCTCTTGTGCTCTTCGGTCCCAGGAGTGACAAAGCCCCGAAGGCAAGGGCTGCTGCGTGTCCCAAGTTTCCCACACCCCACTGGGCAGGAAGTAGGCCTGAGCAGGGCTGGGAGGGTAGTGCCAGTCAGAGCAGATGGCTGCACCTGGCCCAGGTGAGCTGCTTGGTGTGATGCCAGCAGTAGGGCAGGTGTGTCACTGCACAGACGCCTGTGGCCACCCGTTCCAGAGCCACCTCCCCCCTTTCTGCTGCTGCAGCCCCTGCTCTTCCTGCCCAGACACCCTGACAGGGGTGAGGCAGGGCAGCTCCTCTCCAGGTCTGCAGACCACCAGCGGGTCTTCTTGCCCATGCTGGGCTGGTCCTCGGTTGTGGGAACGGTAGCTGCGGCCCAGAGCTCCCTGGCCCGCCTGCGCTCCGGATCGCTGTGGTCCGCTGGGTCTGGGCCCAGCCAGGGGCTACCAGGGCCGCCAGAAGCCAGGGGTGGGCGGTGCTGGCGGGGACGGCGAGGGCGCGGGTGGCGGAGGGGAGAGCGGCCTGGCGTCTGGGCTGGCGCAGGCGGATCTCCGCCGCAGGTGTCCCAGCAGGCCGGCGCTCACCGCGGGCTCCAGGACGCCGCAGGCCGGCAGCACGCAAGCCAGGCGCGCCAGGCAGGCGCGGTAGCCCTCGCGGTAGCTGTCTGTGGGCGCTGCGAGTGGAAACAGTAAGGAACAAGGCACGGGGTGTGGGGCCTGGGGCAAGGGGCAGGGATGGGCGAGGTTAGAGTCACTCACCAGGCGCAGCCTCGGGGCAGGGGGACGAGGGCAGCTCCTGCAGGAAGTGCACGGTCATTTCCAGAATGTCTGCCTTTTCCAGCTTCGAGTAGCGGGAGTTCTGAGCCAGGCCACGCGGGAGAACAGAGACAGGGGCTTGCTATGTAGCCAGGCTCCCCTGGAACTCTCCGCAGTCCTCCTACCTCAGCCTCCGGAGTGCTGCGATTACCGGCGTGCACCGCCAAGCCGGACACAAGCACCGCGCCCTTCCCTCGAGCTCAGCGCAGAGCGCCTCGGCTCGGCTCCTCCGCGGGGGGGCCCCTGGGTTGGCGTGGGGACCGCGCCCCCTTGGCTCCTCCCCGAGCGGCCCGGCACTCACCTCCCGGCCCAGCAGCGGCAGGATGAGCCCCTGGAGCTGGCTCAGGCTGTGGTTGATGCGCGCGCGCCGGCGCTTCTCCAGCAGCGGCTTCAGACTCTGCGGGCACAGGAGCCGCGGTTAGGGGCGTCGAGACCCGGGGGGACCCCGCCGTGCCAGGCCCGTTCCCGGCTCCTACCTTGCGCAGGTCGGCGCCATCCCCCGCCCTGCGAGGGAGCCCCATGCTTCGGGGAGGGTGGCGGCCCCTGCGGGTCCCGCGCCAGAGGAGCTCGGTGCCGGCCTGGGCGAGAGGAGGCCCGGGCGGGAGGGCTGAGCGCTGGGAGCCCGCGCCGGCCCGGTTTTGAGGAGGCGGTGTCACCCTCCTCGTCCCGCCCCTCCCCGCCCCGCCTTTGTTCAGGGCAGGGTGGGGCTGGGAGGGGGACCTCGGTGTCCCCGCGGACCCGGCTCCTCCGGGTCCCATCTGTGGCGGGGGCGCGGGACGTGGGCCCCGTTGGGGCAGGAATGGGAGTGGGGGCCGCGGCCCTCGTCTCCAACGAGCCCTTCTTCCTTCCTTACCCACGTGGGGCTCTGGGCCGGCAGGGGACCCAGCGGCTGCAGCAGCACCGCCCAGCCGGGCCTGGGGAGACCCACGCGGGTCAGACTGGAGAGACGCGCGCCACCAGGTGCTCCGAGCTGGACAGGGAAACTGAGGCCCAGAGAGAGGTCGCGTCTGGTGCGCGCCCTCCTCGCTGGAAAAGGGCGAGGTCGCTGGAGCCCGAGGCTCTAAGCACCCAAAGCTTCCTCCCGGGCGGTCACCGAAGTCAGGGTTACCTGGTCCTCCACCCTCGGCTTTGGGTGATGAAACTGAGCCCCACAGAAGAGCCAACCCAGGGATCCTCGGAGCTCATTTTCATTCCTGCTGCCTCGGAACAGTGGGAGCTCACATGACCAGTGCGCGGGGCGGGCCCGTGCGCCCCCACCCCGGGCCCAGCTGCCCGCCTTCGGACCCCGGCCGCCTGCGCGACTTGTGGCCGTTGCTTCAGCAAACTGGCAAGCGTCCCCCGCCCATCTGCTGCCGGCGCCCCGCCCCCGACCGGCTGGCGGGGCAACGGCCACCCCTGCGGACCACACTGCGGACTGCGGGGCGGACGGCCGGGCGCGGCCCGCGGGACCCAGCTAGCTGGAGCCGGAGGAGGCGCCTGGGGCGGAGCCGAGCGCTGTCCGGGCTGCTGGACCGACCTCTCCTTCCCGCCCCAGCCCCGTCCCCAGCGGGCCTTCGAGGAGGGGCCGGGGCAGCCTGGGCAGGGGCTTGGCCCCCCGCAGCTGTCTGTGGCATCCCGGAGACCACGGCCACCACCTGTGGAGCGCTCTCAGCACAATAGTGCTAACCGTGAGAAGAAAGCATCCGACACGTTTGTCCGAGCAGGGCTGGGGGGTGCGTGAACCCCTATCTTCCTGCCGTGCCTGAGGCCAGCACGCCCAAGGCTCTCATCACGGCTCTGCTCCTCCAGGGCCCTCATCCTGGGAGAGACGAAAGGGCTGGTCCTACCGCTCCTCCTGGGCCAGCCCCGCCAGGCAGGCCGGCCAGATCTTGGAGACCCGGCAGAGGACTAAACGCCCTTGGAGCTCGGTGACACTTGATTTTCAGTCTCTGCTGCAGCCTTGCTCCGTTGCTGTAAAGGATTTTGACTGGATAAACCAGAGTTCCCTCCAACTGAAGGATTCTGGGGGCTGCTGGTTAGGTGGGAGAAGGGGTCACTTAGGGTCAGGGGAAGGAATTACCCTGGTGATGTACACCTATATTCCCAGCACTTTGAGCCCAGCCTGGGCAACTTGGCAATTTATCAAGACCCTGTCTCAAAATAAAAAATGAAAAAGGCCTGGGAATGTAGCTTGGGACAAAGACCCTGAGTCCAATCGCCAGCCTGCAAAAACAAAAAACTCCCGTGCCTCAGTTTCCCCTGCTGTAAAATCGGGCTGATAGCTGCGGTGATTGAACATCCAGGGGAAACTTGCCACGTTGCCTGGTAAATGGTTCCACACAGGCGTCACTGCTGGCGGGCTCTTAGGGGACTCCAGGGGGCCCGGTAGAGACCTCTGAGAGGTCAGAGAGGCCTGGCAGAGCACTGTCAGTCTGACTTTGATGGCGCCCCAAACCTCCTGGGAGAACCTAGACCCCCGGGGTCCCGGGGGAGGAGCAAGGCCCATGGGGGTGGGTGGGTGGGGGGTGATGGAAACCCACCGGGCCATGGAGGGCACAGGGGCTTGGGTTCTGAGGATTCCTGGGCCGTCTCCAGAGTTCACCGCGTAGGACGCCACCAGGCGGCAGCCCCAGGGGATGGGATGGAAGACACAGGGCGGGGAGTAGCTTCCCGCTACAGCGCGTCCAGCACGGGCCTGTGCCAGTCTGGGAGAGGAGCTGGTGACACAGCCAGATGGGGCCAGGCTCTCGCGGGGCCCAGCGTGGGTGGCGTGGGCTGTGTCAAGGTCACGGACGTCCTTGCGCTCCCCCGGGCTGGGCCCCCACTTCCGGCAGCTCCCTCCCCGGCCCAGGGGCCTGGTGCCTCCAGTTCCCACCGCCAGTTTTCAGCTGTGGCCGCCCGAGGGTAGCTTGGCACGGTGAAGCTGGCCCGTGTGCCCTCTGGCGCCGTCCTGTGTCCTTTCTCGGGACCCTCTCTGGTTTTAGGGTCTCCCTATGGCCCGGGCCCTCGCAGCCCCAAGCCTGTGGTCGAGCCCCCAGTCTGGGACATCGGCCCCGGACAACTGGAATCTTCGGCCCACCGTGTGGAAGGTACCGGGCACTCTTCCCTCCTCCCCTTCTCCCCTGGGATCGGAGGGCAGCACTCGGGTCTGCAGTGGCCCCTGGGACCTGCCTCTATTCTGGGCCTTTGTCTTCGAAGTTCCCCACCCAAACTCCGTGGTCACCGCTGAAAACCCAGCCTCCTTCGAGGGCCCTTCCACTGGGCCCTCCAGCGTGCACAGCCCCCACCCTGCGGTCCCGGTCTCCTGACACTGGTTTGTGTCCCCAGAACGGCTCCTAGTGGCCCCGGAGCACCGCACGACTGTCGAATTCTAGCCCAGTTTTGCTCAGTTTTTTCCTGGGGCGGAGTAGGAAAGCAGCCCCGGGGCCCCTGTGGCGTCCCGGGGGCGGGGCAGGGCGGGGTCAGGCCCAAGCGCTGGCGGGGTCCCCGCCCAGAGCGGCGGAGGAGGAGCGAGCGCGGGGCGGTGGGAGTGGAGCTGGGCTGCAGCCGCTCCGCCTCTGCAGAGCACAGCCCCGACGGCCGAGGGCTCCGAGGCTCCGGCTCCTGGGGTCCGCGGATGGCGCCCCGGGAGGCAGACTGCGCCTGAGCAGGGGTCGCGGCGCCGCGGGCGGCACCATGGCCCTGGAGCGAGCGCTGCAGGCGGCGCGGCAGGGCGAGCTGGACCAGCTGAGGTCCCTGCACGCCGCCGGCCTGCTGGAGCCCTCGCTGCGCGACCCACTGGACGCGCTGCCCGTGCACCACGCGGCCCGCGCCGGCAAGCTGCACTGCCTGCGCTTCCTGGTGGAGGATGCCGGGCTGCCCGCAGCGGCCCGCGCACGCAACGGCGCCACGCCAGCCCACGACGCCGCGGCCACCGGCCATCTGGCCTGCCTGCAGTGGCTGCTGTCGAAGGGCGGCTGCAGAGTGCAGGTGAGTCCGCGCCGCGCCCTGGCGCCCTGGGGCTCCCTCCCCGGAGAGCGGCGGCTGGGGGGGGGTCTCCTTCTCCAGGGCGGGCAGGCGCCTGGCAACCCCTGGAGGCTCCTGGAAGAGCACCTGGATGTCATCGGGGAAACCGAGGGGACTGGGCTCGGTGGGGTGGTATTTCCTGGGAGGGGGAAGCCCCATCCTGAGTCCTGGGGCGGACGGAATCGAAGCCCATGCCCTGGGTAGGAGGTTGGAGGGAGAGGGGCCAAAGACCCGCAGCCCAGCCTGGGGCCGCAGGGCACAGGTACCTAAGCCAGGCTGTGGGACAAGGGTGGGGGCCTGGGTGGACCCCAGAGCGCCGTCACCTTTCGGGCTCCCAGCTCCGAGTTGCTCATCACCCCTGCCTGAGTCTAAGGTCCCCAGGTTCCACCTGGTCACTCAGAGGTGACCTCCCCAGGGCGCCCCGGCTGGTGAGGTGAGGTAGCCAGGTGACTGGCAGCACAAGGGACAGGAAGTGCAAGGGTGTGCACGGCCGTCCTGCTCCTGCCAGACGGATGCCAGGGAGGAGGCTGGGTTCAGGAACTTGCAGGGCCCTGCTGGCGCGGGGAATGGCTGATTTCCCCTTGGGGAGACGCTGTGCTAACTTCGGAGAGGGGAGAGGGGCAGCCCAGCTGGCTTGATGTTCCCTGGAGATGGCCAAACCCTGCCCACACCTCCTGCCCTGAGTGCAGGCCTCCCTTCCTCTCCTTCCTGGGCACCCGACCCTTATCTCCTGTTCCCCCTGTTACCAGGGAGGCTGGGCACGTGGCCCAGGCCTCCTTCTCCAGAGCCGCAGGACTCCCTGATGCCCATGGCCAGCCCTGGCTGGATGCCCCCTCTCCTCCCTAAACCTGGTGTCCAGCCCTGGCTGGAAGCCTCCCTTCCTATGGCAGAGGAGGTGGAAGGAGCAAGTGGCCTTGTGCCCAGCTTATCTCTGCCCCTGGCCTTCAGCAGGCCGGGGGGCTAGGCCCGGAAGTGGGGGGGTGACCTCCATCCCTGGTCCTGCCAGCCCAGAGAGATAAGCAGCTTAGGTGGGGGCCGCAGCCCATGAGGCTCCCGAGGCCTACACAGCTGCTGGTGCCTGAGGGACAGGCCTGTGACCTCTGTATACTGTCACCACCTCCCAGAGCCAAGCCCGGAACCCCGAGCCTCAGACCCCAGGCGGGGAGGAGACCCTTTCTCAAGAGCCGAGCCCAGGACATGCCTTTCCGAAGTCCTGGCTGGGTTACTACCACCCCCATCCGCTGGGCTCAGGGCAGACTGGACCAGTCTCTGATCCTCCCTGGACTTTCTTTTTCTTTCTCTTCTTTTTTCTTTTTTGGTTTTGTGAGTCCGGGTCTCACTATGTAGCCCAAGCCAACCTCAAACGCTCGGAGATCCTCTTGTCTCAGCCTTCCAAGTGCCAGGGTGACAGCGTGCACCACCCACCTGGCTGTTCCTGGGCCTTCTCGGAAGCAGAAGGGTTCTGTGTCTTCGTCACCTTCCTGGCCTGCTTGCTCTCTGCCCCGGCCTCCCCCTGTCCCTGCCCACCTCCCTGTGACCCCACTACTCTGTGCCAGAATGGTGCCCACTGTCCCAAAGGTGCCAGCCCCTCCCCAGCAGGTGTGAGGTGGGTACACAGAGGATGAATTCAGATTCTGGGGCACAGCAGGGCTCTCACCCAGCCCCTCGAAGGGGCCGCCACAGAGGACAGCTCCACCCCTGGCCGGGTGCCCCAGGCCTTGCCCACACGTCCTCCACAGAGCAAGAATACAGCCTGTTCCTGTGGCCAGCCGGGCACAGGAGTCTGGGGAGGGCACTCTCCTGCCCCGAGGCCTGGTGTGGACACCTCTGTGCCCTGTGACACTGGGGAAAAGGGAGAAGAAACAGCAACGGTTGGACTCATGGGGCTCTGCCATCCTGATGCCAGCCAGACTCAAACCCCCCAGGGTCAGGTCAACCCCAAAACCACACGGGATGAGGCCATGCTTCGGGAGGCTGGCAGGGCCCCAGGCAGTGACAGGGGCAGGTCTGGGCCTGGGACTTAATGGGCTCTCCTCCCACAGGACAAAGACAATTCCGGTGCCACAGTCCTGCACCTGGCAGCTCGCTTCGGCCACCCCGAGGTGGTGAACTGGCTGCTGCACCATGCCGATGCAGATCCCGCCGTGGCCACGGACACAGGCGCCTTGCCTGTCCACTACGCCGCCGCCAAAGGGGACTTCCTCTCCCTGAGGCTGCTCGTCGGG